GGAGTCGGCCCGCGGGCCGGTACTTTGAGACCACTGCTCTAGAGATATTAATTATGCTTTAAGCAGTACCCTGAAAATGCACTTTTGCCTTGAATTCATCCTAAAAATACCAGTTCACTTCTTGAGTGTAGGCAATCATGTGCCTTATGTCCCATAGCTATATGTTTACAGTATGAGATCACTGCTCCCTCTGACTGCTAGTCTCACCAGACTTGAAGTTACATTTGTTGATGTCTCTACTGTGCTGTTTACTATTCTTCTTGCTGAAGAGGAAGCTGAATCTGAGGACCTGTACTACAAGGATCTCCCTGCTTCCATTTTATTTATTCTGCGGGTCTGTGCTTTCTGTCTCCTGCTGCTTCTTGAATATTAACACAACAATAATAGGAGGAGCCATGAGGGGAACTCTAACAAGCAAAGCCTGCTCTTCCACCAAAATGGCTCCCTCTATATAAGAACACAATCCAGAACAAGAGATGATGGCCAGTCATGGGGAAAAAAGTAGCTGTACGGAGAAAACAGGCAATACTGGTGACTTGTCCTTTGTCCACTGCTTGCATATTGTAGCCACAGTTCAGTTCCTCTATAACATATTGAAAAGTACTTAACATACAGTTGAAACTCGAATAATTAGAATATTGTGCAAAGTTCATTTATTTCACTAATGCGACTTAAAAGGTGAAACTAATATATGAGATAGACTCATTACATGCAAAGCAAGATAATTCAAGCCGAGATTTGTCATAATTGTGATGATTATGGCTTACAGCTCATGAAAACCCCAAGAACCCCAAATCCACAACCTCAAAAAAGTAGATTATTACATGCAATCAATAAAACAAGGATAATATCGGACCTCGGAAAAGTACAAGCATGCATATGTACTCAGTACTTGCTTTGGGCCCCTTTTGCAGCACTTACTGCAATTACTTTTGCACGATATTCTAATTATTCGAGTTTCACCTGTATAGAATCAATTATATGTCCTGGTTGTCTAGTTATAGAGAACATTTATTTCATTTGCTGCCCATAGCAACTGTGTATCAGGGACTTTACTCCTCAGCGTTTTTTTAAAAAAGGTCTTGGGCTGTCTAATAAATTGTGACCTTTACACTGACAGATACTTGAACATCAATTCACAAATCTGATGTAACTTAGCTTGTAAATCTACCTGCTGGGACTCAAAAGCTTTGCAGAAAACTTCATTTACAGTACCAATAAAACCATTGGAATTTAGAAACCTGATGATTTATATAGCGCCAACAGTTTGCACACCACTTTACAATATATGGAAGACACTACAATTACAATATAATTTAAGACAAAATGGTCCTGCCCGTGAGGGCTTACGATCTAAAAGGGAGGGACCAGTGATACATGAGGAGGTAGCTGTGTGGGGATGAATTGTTTGAGAATGTGATGGTTCAGTGGTTAGGTTGAGGTGGGATAGGCTTCCCTGAAGAGATTAGTCTTTAGGGATCACCTAAAGGCAGTCAAAGTGGGAGATAGACGGACAGGTTGAGGTAAAGAGTTCCAGAGTAATGGGAGAGACTCTAGAGTAGTCCTGAAGGCGAGCATGGGGGGAGTTGACGAGGGAGCTGGTAAGCAGGAGGTCTTTGGAGGAGCGGAGGGGACGGTTAGGGTGATACTTTGAGACAAGGTTTGAGATATAGCTGGGCGCAGAGTTGTGGATAGCTTTGTAAGTGGTTGTTAATTTTATCCTTTGGGTGAGTGGAACCCAGTGCAGGGATAGGCAGAGGGGGGTTGCAGACACTGTGCGGTTGGTTAGGTGAATGAGTCTAGCAGCAGCATTCATGATAGACTGAAGGGGGGGGGGGGGGGGCCGGGC